TTTTTTTTTTTTTTTCGGCGCGAGTGTCATTCCGTTTAAATGACTCATTGCGCGTTTATTATACACTATATGTACACATAGCTTCAAACGTCGCCGTGAAATGTCCGCGTAATAATGCAATTTCGGGAGCGTAATCTCCAGGCAAATTATCGTCGTGGGTGAATTAGCTTTGTGACAAGCGCACGATAGTGAAATTAGGAGCAGTTTAAGGACAAACGAAGTGATAAAATTACTTCCAAGTTAGCCACTTGCGCAAATAAAATCGATTCATCGAAGTTTAAACACATTCGAACACATTCGAATCCGTGTGTGGTACATACATTAAATTAGCATTTGTGAGTAGACTTTGGATCTTTATGCAGTTCCGTATTTTTATGAACAGAATTATTCAAAAAATAGAGTTGCAGTCGTAGAACAAGTACTCCGTTTTTAATATTTTATATTATCGTGTGCACATTGTTTTGTATATACTTAGATTTTTCATAATAATGCAGAAAATCCAGGGCTCTATTTACAAGTGTCCCGATATCTTGGTTGGTTTGTAACAACAGTATGTGAATTTTATCTTCTCCTGACAAGAAAAACCGAATAAATGCAACGTTTTAATTGCACTTTTTCTATTCAGTTTGCATAATTGAATTCTTTTTTCTTAATACTGTATTCATGAAAAGCAATTCGAACGATTTGCGCAATATCTCTTTTCTTGTTACTAGACTTTACAATTCTTCAAACGAGACTTTACAATTTGATGAAATTCAAAGAAATTGAAATATCCATAGGTTATTTTTAGGAGACAGTGTTCATTAAATATATTTGTAGGTTGATCGAAATAATATTTATGAAATATCACATCGTAATTAATAATTGGTAATTATTAAGTAAAATTGTAAAATCTGGTTGAATGGAATAATGATAAAAGAATAATTAAGCGAATCCTTTTCATGATTACAATGGCAAAAACAGAGTATCTAAAAATAAACAGATAATTAAACAAATATTATTCGAAATATTTATAAATTAATCGAATCGTTATAATATTGCACGTGATTAATTAGAATGAAATCATGGTCTATATTTATAATTATAATATAATCCAATAAGAATTATCATTTCAATATCTCTGCTATTTTTGGAGAAGCTTTGTCAACGAAAGTATAAAACTGGCCATAATATAGTAGTAATATATCTTCCATTCTTTAGTAAATGTCTTTCCATCTTTTTAAAAAATGGAATCGTATATCTTTTAATTCATCGATCGACACACAGCACGTACATCGAAAAATTTAATTCAGGTGATATTTTAACTTTAATTTTTGTAAAACAGAAACGACACTCTTGTCGTTCGTGTGTTTCACGCGATGGGTTTTATAAAAAAAAATAGAGAAACGCGTGAAGTTGAAATATCTCCACGGTAGTTATCTTCAGGGAGAAGCTCAAAATGCCGGGATTACTTTGAAAAGGGAAATTGAGTTACGCGTAATTCGATAAAGGAAGTCCGTTGTGGAAACGGATACTCCTATTCAGTGGAAGTTGTAAATGAATGACGTCAACCGAGTGACCGATATAGTTAAAACGACTTTTACAGTATCTTGCGGTTATGGTGTTACGCAACCGTCGACTAAGGTGGATTAACAGGCGTAAGGTTTCGTTGGATTTCTCGAATTCCTTTGACATCCGATGTCCCCGGAGACAAAATAATTTACTGCTTGCATTTACTCGTGGTCAATATCTTAATCATTTATTAAGAAACAGTAGCCGCGTACTATCGGTCGTATGGGATTACGTGATAAGCAAGCGAATGTAAACTCCGCGTGATTCCTAGGAATATGTGTGAGAAATGTTTCGGAGCAAATCGGAATATTAGCTATCTCGTTGTGCTCTTCCCCTTTATTTGTTACATATTTCTTTCTTTGGATGTTACGTTTAAATTAAGAAAATGAAGTTAAAATTAAAAGTGGTAAAGAAAGTATTAAATTCTCAATAGTTATCTCATGTGATTTAATCTCCAAATTGGAGTTAATTATTGAAATTTAGAATTTTCGAGTTTTCGATTTGATTCAGTTTTGTTATTAATCTCCGTGAGAAAGAATACAAATTAAAATGATCCAGATATATATCGGACAATGTTCTTCTTTCGTCTAAAACATATTTTAATATAATCAACATTTCGACTTTTAATCTTAGGTGATTCCAGCCAGTATACACAATTCTTAATTCACATTCGCGACTTGCCTTTTACAAACTTCCTCTTCGTTACTTAACACACAAATCCAATACGTGTTATAATCTTTTACTCCATGATTTAAACGTTTTTTAACGAATGGAAAAAATGTTCTAACGCTTCTGAACGGGATTGTACGGGATATTACGTAAGAAAGTACGCGCACGTCACGTTCGCGGCCTTGCTTCGTGCGAAACATTTTATAATATAATTGGACTTCGATTGATTTCAATACTGTATGCAACGCGATCATTTCCATGCTGGTGCACAAACGAACGAGGAAACTGAATTGTTCAATTGAAATTTTCATCCAAGTGCTCCATCGTTTCGCAATGCCGTTGCAGCCTGCGAATGCCTTTCGTTTTGTTATCAGAGTAACGATGTTCCCAGGCGTCTAGCAATCGGTCGTAGTATCTCTCCATCTCGAAGAATTTGAAATACAAATAGGAACTGCTGGTGGGGAATAGTATCTCAAAGTTGTCGGCTTGGCTGAGCTCGTCCTCGTGGCGGATTAGCTGCCTCAGGTCGTCCCTCGTCAAATTCCTCAGGATTCCGTCCAGGTACTCGTCACGAGTCTCCATCGCGTTCATCTCGTTCTGCTTCATTTTCTCGCGCAGATTCAAGGCCGTGCTGTACAATCTATAATTATGGCCGATCGTGTCGTATTTTTTGTTACACGCACCGTTGCCTGAAATTTGCTCGTTCTTGGGAATTTGGTAGCCGGCCATATTTAATACGTCTTTCATCAGAGCACCCTGGAGAATAATAATAATAATCATAATAAAAAAGTCATACGTCAGACGATGCTGTTGATGACGCTTACGATATGCATGATTCAATCCGTGTTACCATAAATAATTTATTGCACGTTCCGTTGGTGGTTTTCGTGTATCATTGCGAAGGAATTTGTAGGTGCGAAGTTAACTGGGGATAAATGTGAACGAATTACACTACTGTACATAAGTGGCAGGATATCTTTCGATTATATTTGTTGGCGGAACCTTTCATCGTATATAATATTTAACATCTTGCGTAATAATACAAAAAAATTTTACTTTTAATTTCATAGTATCAAATTGTTATGGCTATATAAGTGTATATACATACATGTTTATTATTAATATAATTGTTCTGTATATATATCTGGAATTTTTAAAATCCTGATAAAATAAATCGGAAAGAAACATTTTTTCATTTAAGATTCTCATTTTCGAGATAATTGAATTTGAAAATTTGTCGATTGTATATGAATTCATGTTTGAATATATAATCGACCAAATATCGACGAGTCGAAAATATAAAACAGAATTTCTTCACTGAAGTTTTCGCTTTCGAGGGAGTTTGAACGTGTTTATTTAATACTTGATAAATTTTTAATTTTTATCCTTTAATAATTTTTTATTTGTTTCGAACAAATTTTCTTTTCTTTGGAATCATATACTACTATATATTTATCCCATTCATTTACGTAGAATTGTTGTACACCCGTTGTATTATAATTTCAGAAACTAGCCACAATTTCACAACAAAATGACTGCGTTAAAATTCAATAAGTATCAATAGAGACATCAAAATAATATTTCGATAAGTAGGACTTGTTAACGGCGCGTGTTGCACGAAAGAACTAAATTATATATGTCAATGATTTTATTTTACTAGAACTCGGGTGAAAAATCCCCAAGTATCCTGTAACTTACGAACAGAAGTGCACATGCGCGCTCATGGTCGCGCAATGGGCATAATTATCTCCGCGCGAGAAAGTTGGCATTACGATCGTGGACGTTAATTTCCAATTAGCTCTTCGGCTCGCATCTATTTAAATCCTAGGTACCTTAATGGTGGTATCGAGTGGCGAGTCCGTCCGCAGTGACGGTAGAACGTTAACTTCCAATAACCACGGTCTTAAATCCTCGTCGAGGAGTACGTCGAACCCGTATAATTCGTAACAGGTGTAACTCGAGACGAGATTCTCCGAAATGGCCGCGTTCATGCTCGATTCCACGGATATGAAAGTCTTAACGATGATATCTTTGATCTGGCACCATAGATCGGTGACATCCACATTTTCCTGCCTCAGGTACGACCACAAACTCGCGAAGGACCATTTGTGTCCTTTGAACGAGTTCACTCCGTCGTTCATTATGTAAGCCGGGTTCTGCCTGTTCACGCTGCTGTTCGTTAAGTGCATGTATTTATCGCCCAAGTTTGCTCCGCGAACGTATCTAGATATTCAGCATCATTTTAAGAGGGCGGAGAATTATTTTCGAGTCAGTGAAGTATATTCGAATATGATATAGGATATTAGAGTTATTTGAATTAGTATGATGTTTTAACAGAGTACAGAATTATTTGAGCCAATAAGGTGTATCTTTATTTACCCAACGGTATCATATCTTTTTCTTTTTCTTTTCAATTTTTTTGAGCGACAGTGTACAAGTTTCATTTATCCTAAAATCAAAGATTTTATATCAAAGATTCGGATATTGAAGTACGGCTGACCCAAATAACCTTATGCTCGTGTAAATCGGGGAACGGTGTCAGATTCTGATGATTATCAGTGAAAATCAATGAAATATCGTGGTAAGTTGGGGGTCGTCGAATTACCTGACCGAAGCGAAACGAACCAAGCCCTCTTTGTAGACATAAATTCTCATCGGGTTAATGCTTGTTAGGAGAACATAAATTCGCAGATCGAATTTCAAGCCGTTAATGAGTTTCGGCCTGCTGATATATCGTTGAATGATTACCGAGTGCCATTTTGGTATCTCCCACCATTGATTAACAATCTTGATACCCTGGCCACGACCCGCTGACGGCGGTTTAATTATCCACGTGGTGCCCATACCGTGCCTGTTCCACATGCCTTCGAATTTCTGCATCTCCTTCGGCAACACGTACGTTCTTGGCATGAAGTTGTACTGTTGAACGAATTTTCGCGACATTCCACTCAGATGCGTCCACAGCAAGTCTTTGTTGCCGATATTTTGAGATCCTGGCATGTTGTTCACCTGATTTCAACAGAAATCTCGCTGAGACTGGCTCATCGAAGTTGGAAATTACGTTTATGGGAACTCTATAAGCATAATTTGGGGAGCTTCCTGAAAGAAGCTAATGGAATAAAACGATGATTCGAGTAGATCTTATTGGTTCCGGTTTTTTTTTTTTTAAATATTAGCTACGTTTATTATAATGGTTTCTAAGAACGATTCAGCTATTTCATTAAAAAGTGAGTCTAGAAGCTGAAATATTATAATTATTAATTATAGAAGAGAATTAGAAAGTATTGCGCCCCTCGATGATATTCTAAACATTTACAACTTCCTCATAATTTCAAGGGATGTTGTGAAATTCAATTTTCAAGAGTTACTAGAGAAAGTTTTTTAGCGTTCGTAAAGATGTTTCAATTTGCAGAATGAGAGAAAGTACCTTCAAATATATGGTTTTATTAAAAAAAAAAAGAAAATAATTGGTCTTCATATCCTCTACACGTTCAACTGCAATAAATTACTTTCTCCTCAAAATAGAGCAAGTTCTCTTTGAAATAGTTTCCGACATAATTAACGGTAATAAATTTACAGATCTTTCCTTTCAAGAAGGTTTCTTATCTTTACCTTTTGAAAGTTTTTCATACTTCGATATTTCGCCGTGTCTTTGCACGATAAATTCCAAACGCCAGACCAGTCGGTTCCTTTATTCACGATCTGATATCCAGTATTGATCAAGATCTTCATCAAAATCCGTGGCATGGACGTGGTGAATCTCCATTTCAGAAGTTGAGCGAAATCTTCGGGCGGTGTCTTGGGTGTGTGATCGTGTCTTTGGAAGAGAACGTACGGCGGGACGTAAGGGAAAAGACTTTCTCTGATCGGTAACGGCGAAACATCTCTAGTAGCCTTGTCTCCGTCGGCTCGTTCGTCGAAGATAATAGGCTGTGCCTCGCCCGTCGATACAATGCTCTTCGTTAATTTCACCGACTGACGTCGTACAATGTCCGCGGATTTAGATTGGTTGTTACGCAACGCAACGTTGGCACGTGATTTCGTCCTCGAACGAAAGAAAGCTATTTCCGTGAGCTTTTCGTACGTCAGCCACTCCCCGTCGGAGTCTGCGTTGAGGTTAATCACGCCGTTGGAAGTGCTGGTGCTGGCGCATCGATTTGACGCGTCTTCGAATCTTCGTGGATTAGGGTGGCCGAGGTCAGCCTCCTGCATCGCGACACCAGTACACCCGTAAATTTTCCGTTCATTATCGCGTTCAGTGTCGCAGGCTGCACTGGGAATTTTAACAAAACTCCATGATGAAACGTTCGTTTGGCCTCTAGGTATGGGTTGAAGTTGCTCGCGATGATACTCGGTCTTGGCTCGATACTCGATGAACTTTATGAGACACTCCGACCACCTTGCTGGTAAAACCGTCGGAGCGTGAAGCATCGCCGAAAAATTCGATTCCATTCGAGGAGCCTGTAATGCCTCTCGCAGACGCATCTAGAAGAACCACGATCTCCACTCTTGCTTCTTCCAGCGATTAGATCCGCGGAGCAAGGGGCGTCGTCCATTAAATCAGTTTCTGTTCACCCAGTTCCTATCACCGGACAGTGAACAATGCCGCGATTGATTCGACGGCTTTCCGCGTTTGCGTGCTTGCCGTGCGTTTATCTTACTCGGAAGAGCGCTCGAACGCGCGGTAAACACGCGGCCAGACATGCAGGGGTTGGTTTATGCGCGTAACACGCGCTACATGCACTGAAAATGCACGTGGTTCTCTTTGAATGCACATTCACGCGCGGGATGACTTCTGGAATACGAAATCGTATTCTATTCTCTTCCCTCTCTTTCCGTTCGAATTTTGAAACTGCACTTTGGAAATTGCACGGACAATTTTTAATTATCCTGTGTACGTGTAGTAATATTTTCACTATATGAATGAATAATATATGAAATATACGAAGTGAAGTTTAAATTGAACATTTATCTACTTTAATGCCGGAGAGAATATTGTACTATGATTTTTGTATATCTTCGAATTTCTCGTATAATAAAAATTCGTAATTCAATTATGCGCGGATGTTAAATGACCCAGAGTAAATGATATTTTTCGCAATAATCTACAAGATAAATCTTTCATAATAATTCAATTATTTGATTTAATCAATCTAAATGAATTTTATATAGAAAATTGCTTCGTCTGTTAACAACTACTTTGCATAAAAATCTAATCTAATTACTCCAACATAATATTATATTCCAACATAGTACACATATTGTACAATACAGTACAGTTTATAACATGTAATATACTTTGATATATTCTAGCAATCTTTCCTTAGTATAAATCTCTTCGTGATATTATACAACATACATATAGTCTGTAATATATAATATATTCCAATAATCTTTTAACACTTATAAACAAATCTCCTGCAGTTCAAGTATTTGTCTCGAGAAAGGCATACGTTTACTCCAACTAGCCAATCCCTCGAAAACTGTCCGCGGATAAGGTTTAATCCCGCGAAGTAAGAGAAGGAGGGAAAAGATTGGCTAGCCAGGGCGGATCCCCGATAGACGGGCAAATGTGCCTATCGTTCTCCATAGATCTGCCGTCTGGACTCTAATGGCGATGCTGCCCGATGCTAATTTGATTCCCGTGTAGCGCAATCACGGGCCTGATTGTCGATGTTACGCGCATCACGCGCATTCCTGCGTGCGCGCTAGTTGCGTTTTCCATCTTGCACGATTAATTGTCCGCGGTTGCGATGCGTGGTTGGCTTCCTTCTCGCAGCTAGGAATGCAACTACGAGTCCCTCGTGTCTCCTCTGTGTCTCTGATCTGCTCGCTCACAATACGTCCACGGACTGGACAAACATCACCACACTGGCGAAACACCACAGCTATTTACAGAGTGTAATACTCGCGCGATGCCAGATATAACGCGCATTTACATATATACTCGCGATCGTTGCGCGCGATCCACCATCGAGAAAACGGCTCGGTTCGTCTTGATCTTCCGGCACCGAGAACTGGCTCACTTTCCTCGAGACTCGACGCGCATTCGGCTACCCGGTTCTCGACCGTTCCACCTCTGCGAACAGAGATATCCGAAAACGTTTGATTTAAGGAGATCTAAGGTCTGTAATTCAACTTGTAGGTAGCGCTAGGATCTTGCAGGCTACGATGCACTGATGTTAGATGTTAGATTTAGACGAAGAATAAATGATCTTCGGCATTCTTTGGCTTGTTTCATGGTAGTATATTTGGAGGATATTTTTGAGATTGTATATTCGAGAGTTCAATAATTATCCGCAGTGTACTGATATTTTCTGTATGCTTGTATATTAGTGTTTATCGCTTATACTGTACAGGTTTTGATTGAAAGATGGTTGGCAAGATTGTTGACGAGCGAAGAGAGCTATGTATTGAAAAATAATGTTGTTGCAAAAACTCTACTGTTATTCTGATAAACTTTATAATTCGTGTTGCTCATTTTAATCTGATTACAATTACATCGCAGATAATAATTGTGTCATACTCGTCTATTAGATGGCAGATAGTGGAAATCAATAGTAAATTATTATTGTGTTAGATATAGGAATTTGTGAATTTAAAAAAAATGAGATATATATGTAGTTGTCATATTTCTGTTGCATTTTCAACTTTTATATAGTGGAAGAATATTACATTGCTTTTGCATTTACAAAGAAATTATTGAAAAAGTAACGTACTCGTTCGTTGTAAATATTTCGATTAAACGAAAAGAATTATTCATTTAACATTCCATTGTAATACATAAAACACACGAACAATTTTATTCCAAATTTTACTAGAAATATCCATTGATTATTCATAAAAAAAGTGAAAAGTGTTTTCGAATATTTTCGAGCGAGAGCGCGCGTACTTGATACACACTGTACGTGGTTGCCTAAAATAAGACCAGAGACTAGAAATAGATTAAAACCTGCTAGGATCAAAAGACATGTGTTCAAATACTCATAGAGGATAGTGTACGGCATGGTGCCGAGATAAAACGACCTGCCAGCGTTTGTTTCCTTTCGAAACGATTCACGAGACTCGTACCGTTAGCAGCCAACCCAG